GGGGGGGCGGTGGGGACAGGCCTGGCCAGCCGCCGCCCCCGCCGCCGAGCCCGGCAAAGGGGGGGGAGGACAGGCCTCTCCGCCTCGGAGCCGGGCGGGGGGGGACCGGCCTCGCCGCCGCCGCCTGGGGGAGAACGAGCGGGGGGGAGAGGAGACGGAGCTCTTCTCCCCCCCCCCTGCAAGTATCGCGGGTCCCCCTCTTGTTCTCTCTAAAATGGTTGGGAAAGGGCATCATTAAGTTCTACTTGTATTCTGCTATTTCTCTATTCCAGTTGCCACAAGAAAGATCATGCTCTTGCAGCAGCAGGTCAAAAATCCACTGCTTGAATATATTTTAATCACACTTTCCCTGACCAATTTTCATTTTCCTGACTTTCCCAAAAGTGGCAACCCTGAACTTCCATGCATTGCTGCTTACAAGTATTAGAAAAGACCCCTCTTGGTGATTCCAGCACAGCCAGCCTTATGCAAACAACTAAGAACAGAGATTTAAGTGTTGCTATAGTATTGGGAATTTTTATATTTGTCTTTTAAATTGTTGTGTACTGGTCGAAGACTGTAATTATAAACTGACTGACTTTTAAGTGGGTAACCATGTTGGTCTGAAGCACCAGAACAAATTTTGAATCCAGTGGCACCTTTACAACCAACAAAGTTTAATTTAATTCCTTGAAGTGTGCATGCACACGGGAAGCTTATACCCAGCATAAAACTTTGTTCGTCTTAAAGGTGCCCCTGGACTCAAACTTTGTAGAAGAGAAACAGGTTGCTTACCTGTAACTGATGATCTTCGAGTGGTCATCTGTGCATTCACACCCATGGGATCGAGTGCTCACGCGCTGGATCAATCGGCATTGTAGCAAGCTTTTTTAACGGATTTTCGCGCCCAGACCTCGGGCATGTGCAGGAACCCCACCGCGCATGCCCAGAGGGGAGGGCGCGGACATCCCGCCAGTTCCTTCGAACCACCGCAAATCAACCCCTATGGAAAATGTAGAAGCTGACAGCAGCGGGGAAGGAGGGCGGGTGGTGTGAATGCACAGATGACCACTCGAAGATCATCAGTTACAGGTAAGCAACCTGTTTATCTTCAATGTGATCTCTGTGCTTCACACCCATAGGAGATTAGCGAGCAGTGGCCTACCTGGAGGAGGGTGCTGTCAGGTCCTTACTGCGTCGCCGAAGATAGAATGTGACGTCCCATGTTGGTATTAGACTTCTTACGGACGTCCATGGCGTAATGCCTCATGAAGGTGTTAGGTGTGGCCCAGGTAGCACGTGTGCACTAGATCTCATGGGTGTGAAGCACAGAGACCACGTCAAATATCAGAATATGCCAAAGATGAACAGCAGCACTGCACCAAAGTCAATGGCAGGACAGGACACTTTGGGTCTAGTAGGGCAATCGCAATGGAAGAAGCCACACATCAGTTGTATAAATACTATATTTATTAAATATCTTTACAGTTCATTAAATGTATTTACAGATCGTATTCTTGCACAAATGATACTTCAGACATCCAATTCACATAACTGCCTTTCAGGTAAGCACAGGTAACAATAGTCTCATTTAACAAGAAAAAAAAAAGCCTAATTAGATCAGCTATCTTTGTCATATAAAAGCCCAATTCTGCTTCCTGTCTGGCTTCCCACTGCCCAGACAGCAGCTCCGGTCACAGTACCCGTGTTTTTGCTCACTGCAGGACAATTCTGTCTATGTCCAATCTGGTCCCAACGGCAGCCTATTTTTAAAACCTATTTAACCTCAGTTGTTGCAGAAATAGCAGATCTTTGGGGGGGGGGTTTTTTTTGGATATGTCAGATTTCCCAAAGACAGCTAAACTGACAGGGAACCGTGGACATCGGACTCCTTCATTAATATGGGCAATTCACAGTCGCCGAGCTATACCGACCAACTTGGTAACACAATTGCAGGGCATACCCAGAAGGTCAGTCCTGTGACTGCTCCTGCATTAATTAGCAAAGCAGGATAATGCTATACACATACTGTTTCTTTTCAGATTCCCTATGAAGCACGTCTGCAGTCTCAGCTCTCCTCAGTCTCCACCTATATGTTTAAAATTTAAGAGAACACAACATGGAATGTCTTCTCTGTGCCAGATCACAGCACTAGTCTAGTTCCTAGGAAAGACTAATGTGTGGCACACAGCGGTAAAAGTGATGCTACGGAGTCCCCCGAGTCCTGCCTTTTGCGAAAAAGATTTGTGCGCAGACAGCCTTAAGTTCATAGGATAGGAAGAAACAGGCTCCGATATGTTTGAGTGCACATCTTAAAACAAAAACAAAAATTCAAGCGTGCAATAAAAATATTAGTTTCTTTATAATACAGTATTGCTTTAAAAACAGATGGACAAAAGCTATAAACTGTACTGGTCTTTGGTGTCCAGTGGGGGGAAGGGAAGAAGGAACAGTTTATCTGCAAATGTTAAAAATCAAATTTGTTCATCATAAAAAATGGGGTGAGAGACAAATGGCTTATATCGACAAGACTAAAAACTGCTCTAAGCGAAGCAAGGCCAACAAACTCCGCCAGGAGTTTCTGTTCAGCCACAAGGGACTGTGAGCCAAGTTCTCCCACCCGGATGAATAATGAAGGGCGCCAGCCCGTCACCACCACCTGAACTTCCAGAGAAGGGGTTTCGTGCGTTGAGTCGAGGGCCGGCCACCCTCTCAAGGAGCAGAAAGACCAGAAGATTCTGAAGCAGGGAAAACCGCCCTGCTCTTTGGAGGCACCATGTCTGGGAGAGGTCAAGGCCGAGAGGGGAAGGGGGAAGTCAGTGACTGATCAGTGCTCATTCTAAGGACGGACTGCAGCAGGGAATACTGGAGATTTAAAGCAGAGAAAGCCCAATGTCAAGACAGAATTGCTTTTCTGGTACAGCAGGGGAGAAGCCAAGTACTGCAGCATAAAATACATTCCTTCTAGTTGAAGAGACTTAGGTACAACTTGTCCAGCTTCGGAAGTTAGGGAGACTACAATGGTTTGTGCAAAGTTACCATTTGCCACATTAAAAAAATTATCACGTGATGAGTTTATTTTTATGCCATCCTGCATCCATGCCAAAAAAAAATCCCACTTTGTCAAGTTTCGGGCAGTTAAGGCATTGTGACAAGGAATTTTTTTTTCGGGGGGGGGGGGGGGAATCATCATACTGATTCTAGGAAAGGCCAATGAGAAAAAAAAACAGCTTCCAAATGATTCAGCCCCTTCTCATGATAAATGAAATGCCTGTCAGAAGCAAGATGCGCTGAAATAGTGACATGTACATGGTACATGTGACACCGTTATAAATAAAAGCTTGACACAATTATGCAAATATACAGTACAACCACAAAAAATATTTAACACAGGCTGAGGTAACCTCAAACTTAGTTTTGTTTTGTTTTTAAATACAATAAACCTGGCAGTAAAATCCCCTTTTCATATATATTTTTTTAATAAGGTAAGATTGCTTCACTGGCCAAGTTTATTACCTACACATCAACATTATTCAACTGCTATATAAAACATGGCTTTTCGTTTCTAAATACTTTTCTACCAGCAAAAATTATGAAAAAAACCTGACCAAAATATATATATCTTTACACTATTGATTTTTTTACATGAGCAATAAAAAAGGGAGTTTGCAGCTACTGAAGAAATGGGACCGAGTGTAAATGAAAAGAAATGCTATATTGAAAAATGGCTACTAGATACCTGTAAACATCATTACAGTCCATTCTGGAAACCCTCGATACCAGCGACTGAAACGTCAACACAACTCGTTCCACTTTTTGCATTCTGTTGATGGCAACGGCTGCCGGAGCACAGGCAGAGATGTGCACTGTGAGACACTGAGACGCTGCAAAGTTCTTGAAACCCAGAAAGAAGATTCAGAGCTGAGGCCCGCCTGTGTCAACCACCCCACCCTCTCTAGCTACAACTGCAGCACATAAAGCCCGATCCAGCGTCACTCGCTCAGGCAGGCATGCAAGCCTTTTTGACACTCTCACTTCTCTCTGCAGACTTTATTCCAACTGAAATATTTTAGGGAAATTATTTTCTAAAAGAATCCTGCTAGCAGCAGCAACACCCTGTGAAGAAACGATGCAGAACTTCCATCAGTACAAGACCACATGCTTCGCGCACTCCCCCCCCCTTACTCTGCGACTTTCACACACACGTTTCACAGTCTAATTCTGTGTTTCAGTCTAATTCTGTGTTTCAGACTCAGTAACAGACAAAGCTCCTGGGCTGACACCATATAAACCAAGAGGTTCACGGCACTTGGAAGCCTCTGAGAAACCCTCGGCTGTAATCTTGTGGCCTCTCGTGGATGAGAACAGAGCCGCCTCTAGCCCTACAGTATTGTCCTCACAAAAAGGAGTTGTTCTGATTTTCAATAGTACATCTAGCTCTGAATTATTAACATCCACTTACCCTTTTTGATGCTTGCTGTCTTCAGAACCACAGCCATTATCACTCCACCACCCCCCACCATTACTATGCAATAATTACTACTACATTTTTTTTAAAAAAAAAAAGACAAGCTTCAAGTATTGAAATTCTTCATTTCTTGCTGGCAGATGTACTCCAGTAGTGGTTCTCGACGGAAACCTTGAACGAATCTTAATACAGGCAATGGACGTAACACGTGATAGCCACTGAGATCAGCTGCAAAGACAGACGTCCTGCCAGCAGGAAACAGTACACGCAAAGCCGGGAAACTCTGGAATAACGCAAGTCATTCAGGAACTGATGCTTTCAGCCCATCAGTCTGTGTACTCGGCTACTATAGAAAGGAGGACAGTGATGTCATCTGGTTTTCCACCTGCAAAGCAAGACATGGGGATAGTCTCATTGGAACAGTCAGTAAATATCTTGTGTTAACGAACAGAGTCAAGGCAATCCTAACAGGCTCATCGTGGGCAAACATCGGGAGTGCTGCAGATGGGTCCAGCATCGAAAAATAGTATGCTGGGAGATCTCACCCCTATCAAGGAATGCATGTGAGAGTGCATTTATTTGACGGCCAGCTAAATGAGAACAGTTCTGTGGGAGCCCCAACGTTCTCTGATACATTCTATCACAGATATTAAATGGAGAAATACAAGAGTGTTGGAAGGAGAACGGGAGACATTCACAAGACCCTGGAAGCATCATCACAAACCTGGAGGGGGGGCTTGGCTCAGTGGCAGAGCATCTGCTTGGAATGCAGAAGGTCCCGGGTTCAATCCCCAGCATCTTCAGTTAAAAGGACCAGGCAGTAGGGGATGTGAAAGACCTCGGCCTGAGACCTTGGATAGCTGCTGCCAGTCTGAGTACATGATACTGACCTTGATGGACCAAGGGTCTGATTCAGTAGAAAGCCGTTTCATGCGCTTTCATGAGACCCAACAAAGAATTGTGGGGTGAAAGAAACAAAAAACTGCCCCCACCCAAATCGCCTTTCAGTCTACTACATACCCCCTTGAGGACTCAAGCAGGCCACCTTCCCACCCAGTTTTTCCCCTCTTAAGGGCAATAAAGCAGAATCAGTCCTCAAAGACATTGGGGGGGGGGGGGGATGATTTGCAGGCTTTTTTTAAAAAAACAACTCTGCTAACTAGTATCTGGCACACCTAAGGGGCCCCCGCCCTCAGTATGCAGAAACTCTGCCCTTGACTGTGGATGTCTGCGATGAACACTCATTTTGTCTCTCCCCTTTTCTAATAGTAATTAAAAAAGAGGTAGCTAAATGCCTCCAACAGAGGGGAAAACAGACATAGCAGAAGTTCCAGAGAAAGAGAAAAGGAAACAAAAGTGTCAGGTCAAAGGTGAGTTAAGCAGAAGGTTCTAGAACACATCTGGAAAGGAGGAAGGGCTTCAGCACAGGAGCTGGGATGGGGCTTGCTCCACTAGCTAAATTAATGACTATGCTAAGTAAATGGGAGAAACCCGCATACCCTCCCCCACTAACAGAGAAGGGACAAGCTGGAGGCCACGATTCTATATGCTTTCAGGGGCTCTCAACATTCTAAGGCCAAGAAGTATGCTCAGTCCTCATCCGGAGATGGATTTTTTAGATTTTAAACTTGCAGTAAATGTTTCGCTACATACTGGGAAGCCCCACGTATGAGTGGCATTTAGACAGGAAGCTCGCTATTAGAGGGAATTATGCCAGCACACAGACACACATGCACTGTACAACATCTCACCCACCCGCCAACGTTTTGCCATGGAGCACATGAAGATCACTTGCTATTTGAGTATTATGGAATCAAATATTAGCCTCGCAGACATCAAATTTGTTGTTTTTAAGTGTTCACCCCTGCCTCTGAGGCTAGAAAACTTACCTCTTACATTCAGTCCGTTGTCACATGCAAACTGTGCAAAGGGTGACATGTAATTTGGATCATACGCCAGTTCGTGAGCTTGCTCAGCAATACTTCTTGCTGTCTGCTGTATGCTCTCATAATTCGAGTTCTGGATCAAAAAAAGCAAACAAATTATCAGAAAACACACACATTAAAGAGACTACCTACTTTTATCAAAACGGATGCACTGACAGAGAACTAAGACAGCTTGCACCACCTTTTTGATTTAAGCAGAAAATGTCTAGTACAGAGAATCTCATTTTGGGTGAAAGAGAACATATTCAGGAATACTGCGTAACAGGGGACAGGAATGACCATTGAACTGCTGCACATTGGGCCAAGCTTGGAAAAGCTGCCCTCAATTTAGAGCAGCATCTTTTAAGCTCTCCGGTAACAGCTCGGCAGTTCTGGCTTCACCAGGATGTGGCTAGGAAGTCGAGCTTGCACTTGCTCCAGCTTGTACCCGTATGCAGGATCCCACCTTCTCTCTCTTACTGTGCCTCATCAAGAAGATGCCGAGCCAACATTTAAAGAGAATATGCACTCACAGCAGACTCCCGACAACCAGCAACACTTTCTCCTCGGCGTGTTCATAAATTCCTCTTGTCCCTAATCCCGTCTTAATAGAAACTTTGACTGTTTCAGCAAGCCAGCAAATCCGGGAGAGCAGCAAAGAGGTCCTCATCCGGCCTACAGAGCCAAGGTAGCCCACCAGCAGACTAGCAGGACTGAAGAGCCTTCTGTGCCAACCAAACGGGCACCACAATTGTACTGAGCGCCCAGTTCAGCACAGGCACAATGTTCATTATCTCCTAGCTAGACGTCAAGGGTTGCACCGTCGGCAGCATCTGGGCTACATAAAAGAAAGATAATGAACATCTGTGCCTTTGCTAGTGTCCACACAGTTGCCGTTCCAAAGGCCTTCCTGTCTTTCGGAGGAACTGAGGCTGCCAGGGTGGAGAACAATCACTTTTGGCATCACATAGTTCCTAAGGCAACAACGGCATGCTTCTATGCCACTGTTTCACACTCCCTGGAATCCAACCGTTCAGTCACCAGCACCTGGAAGAGACAGCTGGATGCTTTTGCTCTTCCGCTAGAGCGAGCGCTGCCGAGTGGCCAGCAGCACCTGGACCTCCAGGTCTGGGTCAGCCAGAGTGGTCACGGTCAGAGGGCTGGTCTCGGTTCAGGGAGACCCAGGCCCAAGCTCCCACTGCATCACTCGCGCTGCTCACTGGGTGACTCTCCCACAGCCTAACCCTGCCTCACAGAGTCATTCGGAGGATAAGATGGAAGAAGAAAGGACCACAGATGCCATTCTGAGCTCCATGGACAAAAGGCAGGTGATAAACGTACTAGGTACATACATTGGGAAGTCCCTGGCTCACATCTTGTTCCTGCCATAAACTTGTCAAATGGCCTTATTCTCTCATGAATTAACAACCTGCCTTTTCCAGTGAAAAAAAATACAAAATAATGTTTCTCGTACAAGTGAGCAAAGACCTCCAACGTGCAATGCAGCCGGACTAGGATTACAGAACTGGAAAACAGTGCAAACTGAAAGCTGTCAAAGGTAACAAAAACTTAAGTGAAGCTGGAAGAATGCTTTTTTTGCAACTGCGCTATCAACTTGTTTCCCAGCAATAAAGCTGGATCCAGGCTAACCTCGTGGCTCTTAATTGAGTCAGCGAAGGTCAGCTGGACCTCATCAGAAGTGGGAAGCCTAATGTCCTTCAGGACTTCAGCTCTCCCAGCCAACACTGCGCCTCTGTCTTGTCATGATTCAGTTTCAACAACTTGTTCCCCTCTAGCCATTCAAACACAGCGGTCAGCCACTGGCTCAGAGCCTCTCTACAGCATCACCAAGCGATCAGGCTAAAGGAACATAGCTCTGGGTGTTAGCAGCCTACTCCAAAACTATGCATTCCCCATAAGCGCTGAAGAGCATAGAGGACTGAACCTTCAAGAACCCCACAGGGGCAGGCCCCACACCAATGACAACTGGTCTCCAACAGCCGCCTCCTGAGTCCTGCCCATAAGGAAGGATTTAAGCCAGGCCAAAGCACACCATCATGCCTCAATCCCTACTTCTCCTTCCAAAGACCTCAACCCGACGGCACGGTCCGCAGTACCAAAGGCTGCTAGTAAGTCCGGTAAGAGCAACGGAGAGGCACAGCCCTCGTCTACACTCAGACAGAGATCGTCGACTATGGCCGCCTGCACCGTCTCGAGCCCACAGCCCAGCCTGAAGCCGCACGGGAACACGTCTCGGGCAGATGACTTACCTTCAGCTTCTTCAGCTCCTGGAGGATCATGTAGTCAGGCATGTTGTCAAAAAGCCCATCCGTGGCTGTCAGGATGATGTCTCCTAGCTGGACGTCAAAGGTCGTACTGTCGGCAGCATCTGGGCTGTAAAAAAAACAAAGATGATGAGCATCTGTGCCTTTGAACCGTCCTGGGCCAAAGTTCAACCTGGGACATGGAGATAACAGGCTGTTTACAGTCATGTTGGTTCAAAAGTAAAACCACAAAAGCCAACACCGTAGATTGTGCTTGTGGGGATAACACGGTAGGCTGACCTAACTGATAGTTATGTTAAGAGCTTTAGGCATTAGTGTGTGTGTGTGGGGGGGGATCTATGTCTTTTTGTTTTATGCCACCCCTGGACTTCCTGAGTCTACCGAGACAAGCAGGACGGCATCGTGAAAAGGCTGGTCATCTGACAAAAGCTGCCAGGGTAGCTCTTTCATACTCTGAATGTCAAATCTAAAAGGAACCCTCTGCGGTAATCCTGCCCCTCAAGTGTACTGCTTGCACTTCAGTTTTTGGTGCTCCTGCCTTGACCAGAGAGATTCCAGAAGTCTTACTCTGAAGGGGAGGGGGTTGTGCTTCGGTGTCCCTGGCTGGTCTGCCTTTCAAGGGCCTGGTTCCCATTGGACGGCCCGTGCTTTTCCAGCATTCCCATCTCGAGAGCTTGGTGTTCTGCCAAATGGGAGTTCTGCTCGCTTTGACTGGGCACAGGCCACTGCTGGAAGCTTTTAATACAAGCTGCAGTCACATGCTTCTCCCTGGGCTCCTCAAGCACTGGCTGCCTCGCTGCCCGAGTATGGAAAGTGAGCTGAGTTCCAAGGCAAGGCACACTCCTGCCACAGGGCAGCCTCCACCTGCTGAGCAGCTTGAAGGGCCCCAGGGGCAAATGTGGACCTCTCTGTGTGTGTGTGTGGGGGGGAGTGCTGAAGACAAGCCTCTTTGCATCTCCACCTGCATCTTGCTGCAGGGGCACAATGGATGAGCTTCACCCAGGCCATGCAATTAAGCATCCTCTGTACAGTTTGGGAATGGGACAGGGCTTGTTTGAACCCAAACAAGCTCCCTATAGCTAAACAAATATTTCCCATGGTGCCTTCCAATGGTAAGAAACACACCACACTAGACTTGCTGGGCAAACAAGCACCAAGTCAGCAGGAGAGAAATGTCTCTGAGGCCCTGACCAATGTTCCCTCTAAGATGTGGAGTCTTGTGAGCAAAAATTCTACTTTGTGAGCTCCTGGCATTAAAGCTGTGAGTGATTTGGCTGCTGCATAAATTAGTTTGCTCTGGAGCCATCCTCCCTGAGCTAAGACAAAAGTGTGTGAGCCAGAGGCCAAAAAACTGTGTGCTAGCTCACACTTAACTCAGCTTAGAGGGAACACTGGCCCTGACTGACACTGAAATGGAGACGGCAAGGGTGGCCTCTACAAAAGGCCATCTTCTGCAGGCTGCATTTGTTCCTGAACATGCGAGAATTGCAAACAGACATGGAGAGGTCCACACGCAGGACCCCCTGCCGTGCAGCAGCAGGGTACCCCCCCCCCCCGAAGCGGCTAAAAGTGGGCCAGTAGAAAGAAAATCCACATGAACGGCCTATGCCACAAAGGGCTGCCTGCCGTGATTAAATTTCTTTTCAGGGCATCAAGATAAAGAAAATGTCAGCATGGTGAAATACACTGAAGAGCCAGGCGAGAATTTCTAAGGTGCGGCTTGGCCGGCTCCGCACCTGACTCACCGGCAGACAAAGGCACAGCTTCCTCCCTAATGAAGGGCACACGGCAAGCAACAGAGGATTTTCCACGCGGTTACTGCCTTCAACCCCTTACTGCGTGAAAAGGGGGACTATTATTACAATCTTTCAAACCACTCCTCTGGAGAGGGAGTCCTCCTCACCCAGGGGTCCCATCGCTAATCATCAAGTCCTGCAGCTCCTTTCTGAAAAGGCAACTGACATTTGTTTGTGTTGTGTGAATGAAAGGAGCACTTTCACTTCACTGCTTTCAGGAAACCAATGGGAACACACACCAGTGGGACGCTCCAGTGCACCAAAGCCACCAGCTGAGTTATGCTCTCCTGCGTGTGAGCACAGCTGCTCCTGAGTAGAATTTCTGAAAATTTTGAAGCTCTGAAAAAAAACCCGGGGTTTTCCACCCGTTTTTTTTTTTTTTTTTGAAAAAACCAATTTTTTTTGGAAAAATTGAAAAAAAATGCTACATTAGCACTTCTTTTTTCTTTTCCAGATTGAAAGTCATTCTGTTACTTTAGGAACATAAAATATGACTATGGGCATTTTTACTTGGCATGAAATTATCACAACTAGCATATTAAAAATATGGTATATCCAAACAATTATTACAAACAGAATACCCACCCACATGCAAAAACAAAACTGAAACCCTTTTCTTTTCTTGTTACAATAGCACCTCCTAAAGGAAGAATTGCATCTTGTTCTTGCATTGGAGAGTTCAGTTTGTAACCTAGGACTTGCTTGTCCTATATTTTTTTTTTTTTTTTTTTGGGAAAAAAAACGGGGGGGGGGGACATATCCCCCCCCCCCCCGAATTTTTCCGGGCCTTGACATCTCTACTCCTGAGAATTCCCTACAGGACTGCTGAAATGAAAGCGCCCTGTCTTCCGGCAAAGAGAGTGCTAACTTTGATGCAAAGCCTCTTACCTGTCACTGAAGACGACCCCTTCCGCTTCGGGCGGTGCTATCGACAGCTGGAACGGAGTGTTGAAGTAGTGCTGCTGTTCATCGGACCGATGGACTACTTCCCCACCTCTGACCACCAAGAAGCCTGAATCCCCCAAGTTGGCCGTATGTAAACGATGACTCGTCCGATCTAGAACGACAATGCAAGCAGTGCTGCTCCCTGGAAGGAAGATTTAGACGGCTGGTTAGAAATCAAATCTGAACTGCAAAGAGGTGTCATCAGAGCCCCGTATCCTTTGGAGCAAGCGAGACAGAAGAAAATACACTTCAGTCAGATATAGTCAACTAATAGGTACCAAAAGAGTTTCTGCCGCAAATTACAGCTCAGAGCGCTGGCAACACTATTTTTAAACTAGCCCCCTTAAGAATCTATTATTTGTGAGCCTGGCGCCCTCGGCCACTTAAATGGCAGTGTTCACATCAAGTGAGATGTGCAACGAGGCCTGGCTTCAACAAGTAAACATTATACCCTGCCTTTCTGACCACCAGGGGATGTGACAGCAGACAAACTCAGGGATCAGGCACATCTGGGCTTATTAGAGCAATAGAAAGCTGGGTGGTAAAAGCAGCATGCAGTGGAGGTGCCCCTGCCAGCCACCAGTTCATTAAGCACCAGACACTGGAAACGCGCAGGGCTCTGGCATCTGCCTTCTCAACACTCTCAGGAGAAAATCTGCAGCCCTTCGTAAGACTCAGGGAATGTGGACTTGGGGGGGGTCATAAACCCTCCCTTCTCCAACTCTGCAAAGCTCTGTCACTAAAAAGAGAGCTTGTGGAGCGCTTGCACTTCTCTTGGTGATGAAAAAAGGCCAAACTGAGCTGGCCAGCAGCCCTGACAAGAGAACGCCCTGCCAGCCCACAGTTTAGTTAGCGATTTTCCACAAAAACAGCTGCGGTATAATTAGAACCAGCAGCTCCAGCAAGGTCTGAAGACAAACTCTGCGGCCGATGTCTGTCCTTTAGATGGGTAATGAAAAAGGGCCGATACCTCCTGAGCTCAGCAGACCCAGACTAAATATATCTTGTGTGTTTAAAGAGACCTCCTGGCACACAAGCCAAGATCAGGTGAGAGGCATGTGTGCCAGGGAGTCTGTTGCGCTTAGTGGGCGAAAGGTTGCTAGTTTCCTTTAGCTCGGCTAGTTCTCAGTGTCCTCCAGACACGGCCAACGTGTGTCCCAAGGAGACCCACCAGCCTCCTCTTTTCCAAAAGGAGCTGTGCGGACACCAGAGGCAAGCAGCCCGGTGCGGGCAAGACCTGCCTCTGATCAGCACCATAAATAATGTTCCTGGCATGAAGATGAACAGAGGTAGTTCCAGAATGCTTGGGTGATTCAGAAGTAGCCCTGAGGCCACATCCTGCAAGTACACCAAAGAAAGCAGTTCAGGCTTGTAGGACGGCCAGTCCACTGGCCCAAACAGCCATACTTTAGAACCACTTCTGCCGCTGCCGCCGCCACCAATGCTTTGAGATTCATTGTTACAATGACTAATTTGTACCGTTTATAAGGCACTGGGACAGAATTTGCTGCCCAAATCAGCAACCACACGCACAAAACTAGTTAAAAGGTGCCAGTCAATGGCTAATTCTTTTTGGCCACAAATGTAGCATTTGCTTTTGAAAGTTACCAGTCAAGAATGAGTTATCTCAAGCATCATTCAAGGCAAACCCACCAAAGTCCCCAAAGGACATTTGTATAACACTTCTAGACTCAAGAGTTCAAAGTGCTTCTTTGGGTTTCTCTTAGTAACACTTTTTAAGCTGGTCAACATAACCACGTACGGTAGGGTCACGTACAATGTTCCCACCAAGCTGTGGAGTCTTGTGAGCAAAAATCCTACTTTGTGAGCGACTGGCATAGAAGTTGTGAGCATGCAATTTGGCTCCTGCATAAATGTTTGCTCTGGAGCTGTCCTTCCTGAGCGAAGGCAAAAATGTGTGAGCCGGAGGCTAAAAATCTGTGAGCTAGCGCACGCTAACTCAGCTTAAAGAGAACACTGGTCACGTAGTAGGATGCTGACATTTCAAATGGGATGCTAGCCTGCCTATGTCCAAATAGAGAGCTGATGTTTATGGAGAAAGACCACCACCCGACAGCGACTCCCAAGAACAGTGCTGCTGCAGCTGGCCAAGAAGACACACCCAGCTGCTGTTGGGAGAAAGGAAGGGAGGCCAGCAGTTCTTACCCAGCAAAGGTACTTTGTTCTGCAACAGCTCGCAATAGCTTGTGGTGAGGATCCCCACCGGGTTGGTCGGGACAAACCGTCCTTCCTTCACTAGGCGTTCACACGTGCGCATCAGAGTCCCTGAGAACTGAGAAGGGTCAACCCCGTAGTCTCGCCAACCGCCAACACCGTCTGCGACCCCTAAAAGAACAGAAACACACAGACACTGAATAATGCTATTTGATTCTTCAATACCTGCTAACTTTTACTTATTATTCTAGCTCACTGAACTTTCCCAATTCCAGCTCACTTTCCCAATTCAACACCTCATGCGATGAGCGAGGTCATCACTTCGGATTGCCGAAGCCACAAGTAAGGAGTGGTTATGAGCCTAAATTAAAACTAGTCCTGGAAACGCAGATGCCGAAGTCAGCAGGACCAGCCTAAGTACAGGGTGCATTTTCATGAAGACAACCACCGCTAATTACTTCTTCTCGGGGATCATTCAGGAGTTACTGCCTCGTTTTGATACCTCTTGGAGATGTACCCAGACAAAGCAGACATAGTTACACCTGAGCATTGATGCAATTACACATCCAAGGTCACTTTGCTTACTTTAAGATGATCATCTCAGAATTTAAAGAAGCTTCAACACTGAAGCAGAAGCAAAAGGTAAGATAACAGAGCTTTTCACAAACCATAACTGAACTGAAGCTGAATGCTGAGCCAAAGAAAATGCTAAATGCATTTAAGAACATAAGAAGAGCCCTGCTGGATCAGACCATCTAGCCTAGCATCCTGTCTCACACAGTGGCCAACCAGTTCCTCTGGAGGGAGGCCCAACAACAGGGCATAAGAGGCCAAGGCCTTCCCCTGATGTTGCCTCCTGGCTCTGGGAATGTGGAGATTCCCCTCAGTCACCATGGCTAGTAGCCATTGATAGACTAAAGATATACAACATGCCCCATCCAAATGCATGCAGAACTGGGCATTTTGCAGGTTTGCACTAAGGACATTACCAGATGATTGACTGGTACAACTACAGGATTCTAACACGGTTGAATATAATCCCTGAATACAAAGGGTGGAACACTTTCCCCAAACACTGCAAGAAATGCCAGGCATTGCAAACACGTATTGCCTTCCTTATTGCTGAAAAGGACCCGCAAGGTGCAACCCATTGCTGCAGTTCTGCAGCTGAGAAAACAGCTATTTGTCCATCTGAACAGAACACCAGGAGGATTTAAGCACAGCATGACAACAAGTAAAGCTATTTAGCAGAGACGGGTTCCTGTGAATTGTTAAAGAGTCGCAGCAGCACTGGGAATATTCTCTACGGTATTTATTATCAGGCCTCTGCAGACCTACAGAAGCATCTAGTTGTAACACATCTATTGCTTACTTGGTGCAGGAATCGTTCTGCCGCATGCAAGAGTCATAATTTAGTATTTTATGGAACAAGACAAGATCAGGTTAGTGATTCAGGATGCTGGATGACTCACTCTTTTCCACAGAGAGCATCTGCTTAAGGAAGGCAGACTTTCCTTGGAACAGAAGGCTACTAACCTCTGTCCAAAGAGTGAAAATTAATTTAGCACGTGCGGCAAAATGTGCTAATTTGTAGAATGGGGTGCCAGCCGAAAGAGAGATGAAGGGTTTATCATTGACCTTGGCATGAACTATAAACCATCAGCACATCACAGCAAGACTCCACAGACATTAATCAGATTTATACCAAAAATAGTGCACAGCCTTTTAGATGCTTGTTGGCCTTTCTGAAGCCTGTAATAGATAGAAGGCAAACATTACTGCTATCAACTCTGGTAACAAAAGTACAAAAAAAAGCCCACAGAGTCTCGAGTGCCAAGAAACATCTTTGCTTGCTTCTTCAGAAAATGCATAAAAAGCCAATCAACCAGATGCTGAGGTCGGTACTAGATTTCTCCTTTGATTTCCTATCTATGGTTATATTTTTTAAAAAGCATGCGTAACTGTTGAGGTGAATGAAGACACCATTTCCTTGCACAGCAGAAACAGTAAAACATAAAAACATCATGGAACACAGGCTTTGTGGTTCAAGGCAGATATTGGGCCAAACGCATCAAGGACTAGGCCTGAGTAGTACTACCGTATTTGGCAGCGAAGCAGGAAAGAGCACGGCTCCAAGATTTTTTGGTGGGGGGGACTTGAGAGTGAACATCGTATCAGAGCTCCTTCTAGCCCTACCCTCTGAAAGCACCCACGGCCCCTCCCCAATGTGCAGTCCTGCAGCGTTGCTTCTCAGACTGGGAGACAGGGCATAGGAAGTTGACGGCCACTTGCAGTGTGCTAAAGTTGCTGTCTCTCCAAAGAACCACCGCCATGGCCGCCATGGCCACTTCCTCCAGTGGAGCCCCCTCTGTGGCCAGCTTCACCATCATACACACACACACACCCATCCGTTTGTCAGCACACCCATATCTCCACAGGCAGACTGAAGTGTCATTTAGGGCTCGGGCCCAAAAGGTTGCCTACTCTTGCGGTAGGCAAGGAAAGTCAGCAGCACTCGTTGGCGCAGATGTGGAACGACCAGAACTGCATGGAAGAGAGTGCCTGGTGCTGACAAAAGCTTACTATGCAGCCTTGTGCATGTCATTCTCTTATTTATTTATATTTATTATTTGCATTTATATCCTGCCTATCCTGCAGGCAGGCTCAGGGCGGATAATATAATTGAAATAAATACATTAAAAAAACATTAAAACACAATAAAACTTTATAACAGTTGAAACAATGGGTACAGCTTGGAAGAGCATAAGTTGGCTATAAAATTCTGGCCCGATGGTACAAAGGGTTGAAGGCCAGTTGTCGGTGGTCAGTAGACATATGACAGACGGGTGACAGCAACCTCAGGGAGGCCATAGACGGGCGCCCGCTGCCTAGACCAAAGGCCTGGTGGAACAGCTCCGTCTTGCAGGTCCTGCGGAATTGAAGGAGATCCCGCAGGGCCCTGGTCAAGAGCCTTCTGCATGGATGCTCAACTGGCAGACCAGGATCTGGCCATATTTTACACATCTGCAACAAAGCTGTAGAAGCAGGACATCTTTGGATGCGGGAAGGTTACTTGGGCTCCCAACTGAGTCATCACTGCCACCACAACTTTTTGCCTCTTTGACACCTTTCTGATCTCAGCCCTATTATAACCTGCCAAGAACACAAAACTGCTCTTTTCTCGAGAATGGGCACCAAAGGTCCCCTCGCGGCCAGCATACCAAAGGCATCGGCCAGTGGCGTCACAGCATCAGCAATAGTTCTGTGCCAGAGCAAAAAAACTATGCACCTAAGCCGCTCAGGGCCTGCATTTTAAAGAAGGATGCAGTTGTACTGTAAACTGTCTTAATAGGACACAGGGTTTCCCCCCCTCTTATGTAGGATGAAAAAGCTGTTTAATAAAAAGGAAATATGAACTCAAAGATTTTAGGAACCTTGTTCAGACTAAAACATTTAAAGCATAAACTTGAACATGGATGCAGGTTATCTCAATTCAGCCAATCTGTACACGGCTTACGGAAATGCCAAATTAATCTTTGCAGCCTCGCGCCAGCTTCCACCCACACCTTCCAGTTCCACAGCAGAAGCACCACACTATACTATGCAGATACTGTAATTCCTCAACTGACTCAAGGATTAATCATGCAAAGCCCCCTCTCTCACACACCAACTTCTTACGGTAGCTGAAAGCTCCCTCAGCCTTACTAAATAGTAGATCCTATTATCCAGTTTTCCTTCCACAGAGAAAATACACAAATGGTCCCCAGAGTTTCATGTGCTCTGCGTCAGGTTTAGCAACAGCGGCTCCTTGCCTACAATCAAGCAAAGCAAAGATGCGCTGCATCTCATGAGGTAACAGCCAGCGACTGGCAGGCTGCAGGGCAGGGGGACAGAATGGGGGTGGCGAAAGGACACGATACTGGCAGCCACTGTTCCCTCTAAGCTGAGTTAGTGTGGGCTAGCTCACAGTTTTTTAGCCTCCGGCTCACAGATTTTTGTCTTAGCTCAGGAAGGAGGGCCCCAAGGCAACCTAATTTATGCAGCAGCCAAATCGCTCCCTCACAACTTTAATGCCAGGAGCTCACAAAACAGAACTTTTGCTCACAAGACTCCGCCGCTTAGAGGGAGCACTGCTGGTGGGGGCGGCCGCCTGGAAAGCAGCACAGCAGCTTCTATACAGTCACCTAATATCCATAATAGGAAAAAAGACCAGGGTTCCCATTCCCATAAGCCACTTGGACAAACGGGAACTCTGGTAAACAGCTGTCCTGTCACCTGGGCCTCCCTCTCAACTCCCAATCCGGTGCCTGTCTGTGATCACAATCCAACACACCTGTGCCCCCCCCAAAAAAAAATGTAAGATGCCACCAACTTGCAGTTGCTGAGGAACGCCTTTTCTATTTGTACTACTTTCCTCCAATATTTCCTACACCGGACTAACTCACTGTGTCTACTGCTCCCCCTACCCATCCAGTCAGCATAACTACATAATTATGCCATTCAGAACAGAGCCCGAGATACGGTTCTCCTTTGCCCTGAGAATAATCTGTTAGTTCCTCCCAATCAACCCTGAAAACTTTCATAGGTGTTCAGCCCATACAAAGTTTTCAACCCTATACACCAAACTGCAACGTTTGCAGGAGTGAATTTCCTCAAGCTTAAACAACAACTGCAACTAGAATACAGAGGGACCATTCATACAGGGAGGTGGTCTGAAATACAGACAGCACAAGGGGGGACCCGCAAGACACTTGTGGGGCGGTTATCCCACTCCTCACACATTGGCTTCCTCCCCCTTCCCCCTCTCACACTCTTTCTCCCCTCTGCTCCCTTCTTATCCTATCTCTCCTCCAGGCATGTTCCTTCGTCTCGCTTTCTGCCCTCTCATCGTTCTCTTTGCTTTCTTGCCTCCCCACCTCATCATTCTCTCTCTTTCTGCCCCCATCACTCCCCAGCCTCCTCTCGGCTTCCTCCTCCATCCCACGCAGCAGCAGCAGCAGCAGCAGCAGCAGCAGCACTCCCGGCCACCCACCTGCTTCCTCTCCCCCCACAGCAACAGTGGCAGCTCTCCAGGAACCACAATGGATCTCCCAGCCACAGAGATCAACTCACCTTAGGGCTGCTAACTCCAGATTAGGAAATTCCTGGAGATTTGGGGGTGCAGTTTTAGG